GTTCATGGGCACTGGCACCGACAACGGGCCGGCCACCGCCATCGCGGTCGCCGTCGCCGCCGCTCCGCCGACCGTCGGCGGAGGCCCCGCGGCGGGGCCCGAGCCCAGCGCGCCGGTCACCGCCGCCGCCGCCGTTGGCGCTGGGGGGCGGCGCGAGCCCCTCGCCTCAGCGACGGCCTCCACCCCGGCGCGCGCGCGCGCGCGCGCCCGCTCCTCCGCGGCCCGGGACCAATCAGAGCGCGGCCGGGGCGCGGGCACGAGCCAACCGGAGCCGGGAAAAAGGGCGAGGACCGCGACTGATGGCAAACAGCCAATCGGAGCCGAGCGAGAGGCGAGGCCGGGGCGGCCGCTGCCCAATCGGAGAGGCCGGCGGGGCGGGGCCAGCCAATGGGAGCGGCGCCGCTGCCCCGGCTTGGCGGGGGTAGGAGGGCGCGGCGTCGCTCCCTTTAAAGCGCATCGGTCGCCCCCCGCGGGAGCGCGCCCAGGGGCGCGGTCCGGCGCTCGTCCCGCCGCCGGGGCTGGTCCATCTGTCCGTCCGTCCCCGCACCCGGGCAGCGGCGGAGACTCCCCGGGGCTGGCCAGGGCCTCGGTCCTGCACGAGCTGCCGTGGCGGTGACGACGAGCCGTGGAGCGCCGCGGGGAGAGGGTGCCCTCAGGGGTGAGCAGCAGGGCCGGCCGGCGGGTGGGCCTGAGGAGGAACTGAGCAGCTGGACCCGGGACACGGCGGGTTGAAGCCAAAAGGAAGCCGAGACCTCTGACTGACTCTTTCCTCGAAACACTTGGGAACTCTGAACGTGCTACAGGGGGAAAGGCAGAAATCCCCTTCAGTCCCACTGAAGCTCTCCCGGGAAATGCAGCAAAAGGAGGAAGCTCGTCGGCCAGAAACTGCAAGTGGTGGCTGTCATGGGCAAAAGCCATTTGTGACCTGGAGACCATGGCCAGAGCTTCACCAGCTCAGAAGGCATCGCAGATCATAAAGCATGTGCAGGGCAGAGCATCCCTAGGGACAGAGCTGAGGGCAAGCCTGCAGCTGGACAAGTGCACTCTGTTCTGGTAGAAAGCATAAAAGTTCCCCCCCTTGAGCTTGCCTCCAGCAGAAGTATCTGTCTAAAATGGCTCTGCCTCTTGAAAAAATGGGACATCAGAGAAATCAAATAATAGGGTGGTACTGACTGAGGGCTCCTGAAAGGAAGCAGGGATGGTCCAAGAGCTGCTTTGAAAACTATGTGAAAAAACAGCCAAGTCAATAGTGGTCAAACCAGAAAACAAAGAAAAGCTAGCAGCTTCTGCAGGAACCTGTGCTTCTCAATGTGTTTAGAGTTTTCCATGGATGCAGTGTTATTCCAGGCAAATAAAATGTAAAATGTGGCTCATGCTAATGGAGGAATTAGAAAAGTGGCAGCAGCAAAATCTTGCAAAGCAGCCTAAAATATCCATGGTTTCTACTGTCAATCTTGAGTACTGTGTTTCCAAAACATTACCAGTAAACATTTCAGGGGCACCTTCCTGAATACTGATGTATAATTTGTAGTCTGTCCCTTGCACCTCTTCTTTTTCCTTGCATTTGTCAGGTCTGCATTTCCTCTGCTGCTGAGGTTCAGGTTGGTCAGTAACATGGTGGTAATTCACATCAGATTCCAGTTTGACTAGATGGACAATCTGAACCATGATCAAACTTTTACTTCTTGTTCCCTGCCCACCTTCCCAGCCCATAAATGCTGATAAATAGCATGGATCACAGCAGAGTTGCCCAGACCTCCTGACTTGCTCACAAAACAACTTTGATTGCTGCTTTAATGCATTTGCTTTTCTTTAATTAGGTCATTAATGCACAAGAGGACCTTTGCTTTCACCCTTGACAGCCTTGGTTCTCTAAGAACATTTTCTAGGGGATCTTAGCAGAGGCTTTTGTCTAAGACCAGCTGGACCAAGGATGAGCTGCATTTCCATAGCATTCTGACAATTAATGTGGAAACCTTGGCTTTGCAGCCAGAGAGAGTCACACAATGGTCTTGGCCTTTTTTGCAGCATTGTCATCCATCATTGTTTGACCTCAGCTGGGTATCACCACTGCCTTTCCCCAAAAGCATCTGCCTGCTCCAGAGGAGCTTGCTAAATCTAGGGTCTTGATTTACCCTAAATGCAGTCTCTCCCCCCAGCTGTTTGCTTTCATCCATTTGCTTTCTATCTGAGTCACCATTCCTGACTCTTTGTGTGGTACTTTAATAGCATTGAGTGCTCCAGGTTTTCAGCGATGCCTGCTCAGTTCCAGGAGACCAGAGGCACCTCCCTGCTGAGCCCAGGGCACCCTGCTGAGGTGACTGCCTTCCAGGCACTTGCCAAGTCCTGCTGCTCCCCCTTTCCCCCGCCTTCCTGAAGGATGCCCATCACTTCCAGCCACCCCTGCTCTGCCCTGGGGCTCTGTCATGGTTTAGAGTCTGTGATGCTTTCTCAGAGCTGTCGGAGCTCAGGGCACAGTCCCCAGATCATAAATGGTCTTTACCTGTCACAGCCACCACTTGCAGTTTCTGGCTGATGAGATTCCTCTTTTTTGCTGTGTTTCCCCTGGAAGGATGTTCAGTGGGACTGAGGTGCGTTTCTCTGCCTCTTTCCCTCCAGCCAGTTCCCTTCAAGTACTTCTTGCAGCTTACTTGGGGATTTTTTGGCCTTCTGGCTTTTTTACAGATGAATTTATACATTTGTTCTCAGGCTGTTTTAATGTGCTTTATTTATTTGGGGGCTTGTCTACACAGCCCACTCTTCATTTTTTTCCTGTCTTCATGTTATATTGACTTTGTGCCTACAGCATGACCTACCCACAGCTGTGCTTTTCCCACTCCTTGGGGTCAAAATTATCCTGTGTTTTTCACTGCAAGTCCCAAAGCCTGGTTATCTTCCAGCTCAAACAGAGGCTGGTGGAGTTGTCATCACATTCAGCTGCTTTCCCAGCTCCTCTTATGCTGAGACCTTCCTGTGTGCCAGCCACCTGGCTTGCTTCCTTGTGGATGTGATCCTTGAGGACAACAGGGAAATGTTCTTCAGCATCGAGGTAACCCATTTGAAATGTGCCTTCAGAAAAGCCTTTTACTTATTCTCTTTTATGTGTCACAGTTGAAGCTCTCAGCACGGTCCCCAGGCCACTGCCAGCCTTTCTCCATTACAGCCACTGCTTGCTGTTCCTTGCTGACAAGCTTCCTCTGCTTCCCACAGCTCCCCTTTGAGGATGTTAACACGACCGATGGATTTCCCCATCTCTTTCCCAACAGCCTTTGAGTGCATTGCTGTCACTGCAAAGGGACTTTTCAGTGCCAGTGATGGGGTGCAGGTTTCATGGGCTAAGCTGAAGATGCTTCTGCACCCAGGTCTGGAGCTGGCAGCAGCCAGAGAGCAGCTGTGTGCCTGGGAATCCTGGTGTACCCTCTCTGGTTCCCTTCCACTTTATCCGTGATACAGATGCATCCACACACCAACTCTGGCACCCCGGCTCCAGCATCGTGTTTTAGAGAAGCACAGACGTATCTGTTCTTGCTCTGGCTCCTTATTTTTATGTGCCTTGTTAAAGCAGTTCTTTACTGCTTCCCACACGAATGTTGTCACCTCCTGTCCTAGTCTCTAGTGGAGACTCAGGGGTTTTATGATTCCAGCTCACAAATGAATCATCTTGTCTTTAGCCCCATTGCTTGGTAGGTTCCTCCAACACCCCTCTCCCGCCTCTGTCGTGTGGATACCTCTGTGGTGTCTCCCTCCCTGGGTGCCTCCATGGACAGAGGCCCTTTGCTCCTCCCTGCATCCTTCAAGACACTGCTGGGATAGCGAAAGCCAATGCTTCTGTGTCCTGGAGGAAAGAAGTAGATTTTTGCAGTGTCAGCTTGCCCTCTTGTGCCTCACGTTGCTCTCCACTCGAGTTGCAAGTTCTCCTTTCATTTTTGGAGGAAGGCTGCTTTGGCTGCTTTGTTTCCCTGCTCTTTCAGCCCTTCTGGGGATTGCTGTTTATTCCTGGGTTAGGAGAATGCTCCCACAGACAAACTCCTCACCTTGTTGCACATGTCTAACCCAGAGCTCTGCTCCCTTCACACAGGACCTCCACCTGCCTGCATCAACCAGTCCACACCCACTGTGGGACACCTGAGCTAAGCCTGGATGCTGGTCCAGTGTCTCCATTTGCCAAGGACACCACAAGTTACATTTTGTGTGTTCCTGGTGGCAGCTGAGATGCCCCAGGGCATTAGATCCAACAAGGACCTACAGCTACTGTCAGCAGCTGGATGCAAGGAGGGCTGCACTTCCCCTGGCACTCTGTCACTTGCACTTGTCCTTGCTCTTAGGTCTATGGCAGGTTTTGCTCATAGCCCATCTCCAGAGATCTTAGAGCTTCCACATCTTCCAAAATACATGTATCTACAATGAGCATTTCAAAGGCAGAGAGGAAACACATGAAAAACCTTCCCTGTGTAGTTAAGACCTGAATCACTTAGAAGAAAGTTTGGAGTTAAATGCAATAAGCTGCTCAGGCTGACAGAAGAGCAGCTGCAGAGAGGTATGTCCACCAGGATAATGGAAACCTTTTGCCTTCCCTGGCCTGCTTTATCTGCACACAAGCTCCTGGTGGTGCCAACCCACCTGTACCAGAGCCCGGCGAGGCTGGGGCTCTGCAGGACCCTGCAGACCGGCACAGCTGGCTATCAGGTCATGCCTTCCCCTGCCTTCTCCCCCCAGCAAGGAGCGGTCGCGGCCCCAGTCCCTCCCGGAGGGCAAACATCCCTGTCAGGCCAGGCTTCCCAGGGCGCCACTGGCTGGCCTGGGGCCTCTGCTGGGCTGCGGCCCCGCGGGCCCTGGGTCTGCCCGGGGCAGGACGTGGGCTGGAGACGGGCGGGGATGCAGGCGGCGGCCCGGGGGCGGGAGCGGCCCCGGCCAGGGCCCGGCCGCTGTGGGCAGGGGGCTCGGGGCAGGCGGGGCCGGGGGTGCCCCGGCGCTCCCAGGGCACGGAGCTCGGAGGGGCGGCCCCGCTCGGGCCCCGGGGCGGGCGTCCGTGCTGAGCCGGGGCCTGGGGTACCCCCAGCCCCCTTGGAGGCTCGGCCAGGCCGTGGGGTGCCAGGCGGGTGAGCCCCCGGCCGTGTGGCATGCTCCAGATGTGCCACATCCACGGGCTCCCGCATGCCCGTCGGCCTCTGATCCCTCCCCCTGAGAGGCACCTGTGTCTGACAGGTTCAGGCTTCGCTGCCTCCCGCAACGTGCCAGGATGCTGCTGGGCCCAGGGATGCACGACTGCGCCGGACGCCTGCTCCCTCAGCCAAAAAGCAGGAGTTCAGGTAGCTTGTGCCCAGGGCCCTGTGCCATCAATATCAGCAGCAGGAGCAGCCGTGTGCAGGGGTGACCATTAACTGTGCGGCCTCCATCCTGCTCCCCAGCGTTTGCTCCGTGCTCAAGTGCCGCCTGCACGCTGCCCCTTGGATGAGCAGGATGGTGCACAGCCCAGGCGTGGCAGAGGCGGGCTCCGCGTGGGCAGCCCTCGTGCAGCGCTGTGCCACACAGTCATCAGCCCAGCTTCATCCTCCATTTCATCCGGGGGGCTGGCTCCCCTCCAGAGCAGCTGCCAAGTTCTGCCTGGTGAGGCTCCGGCTCTGTCCTCCCTCCTTGCCTCTGAAGGCAGCTGCCTGCAGCTGTGCTTGCTCAGGGGGAGGGAGTCTGACAGCCCTGGTGCCGCACAAGGCAGGCAGGGTGCTTTTGGGGACAGTGCTTTGCTCTGTCCCAGCCCAGGAAAGCTGAGCATCCCACAGAAATTTAGGGCCTGTTGTAGAGCTCCTTGTATCCTGGAGCTTTGGACTCATGCTGCTTTTCCTTGCTTTCGGTTTATGGTGTTGGGGCAGGGTGGGCATTGGCAAATAGCTCTAGGCAAAGCTCTTGGGGGTGTGAACCTGAAGGAAACGGAATATTGGGCCAATTTTTTCCCTCCTACCCCACAAGACAGCCAGGCTAAAAAAAGCCAGGCTTCATCTTGTGCTGTGCATGAAAATAAAGAGACTAAAAAGTGCGGTCCTGGATCAGAGCATTTAAGGGCTTGCTTGGGTTAAACACATAGGTCTAGTCTTAGCTTGCCGTGTAGGGGGAAAATGTAAGCAGTACCACTGGCTGGGAAATCCCATGGAAAATAAGGCATGTACCCTTCCTGGTGGCAGAGGCTAGTCGGTGTGATGAGCCACCAGAAAAGGCAGTGGGATCCCAAGTGCTTGAGGTGTCCCAAGTGTCCAGCCTGCCCCACCATGTGCTTCCTAGGATCTAGGTTTCAGCCAGCACATGCCACCAGGATTGCCTGGTCAATCTCAGGAGCTCTTTGGCTAGAAATCACAAGTTTGGAACAAGCCAGGCACGTAGGATGGGAGAAATCTATGAATGGCTCCCTCCCTTCTTTCAGCCATCCACAGCTGTTGAGGAGAGGGTGGCAGAAGGGGGGCCCAAGGGTGGGAATAGGAAATCTCAGCAGCTTCCTGATGACCCTGCCTGTTCCTCTGTGCAGGATGGTTCCCCCACCACCTGTCAGCAAGCCCCATGTGTGCCTCTCCACAGTGCTCATCATGACCAGCCTCGTCCTCATGGATGCCTACCTGGTGGAGCAGAGCCAGGGCTCCAGGAAGCTGGGCATCAGTGTCATGGTGGCAGTGGGTGACATATGCTTCCTGCTGGTCCTCCGCTATGTGGCTATCTGGGTTGGGGCAGAGGTAAAGACAGCTAAGCGAGGATATGCCATGATCCTCTGGTTCCTGTACGTCTTCGTTCTGGAGATCAAAGTCTACTTTGTATACCAGAATTATAAAGCCGACCGGAAAAGCTTGGATCTCATAGCCCGCAAAGCGTTGACCTTGCTGCTCTCCATCTGCATCCCAGCTCTCTATGTGTTGCTGGTGGCCACAGAGCACATGGAGTATGTCAGAACATTCAAGAAGAAGGAAGATCTCCGCAACCGCCTTTTCTGGGTCATTGTGGACATGCTGGACGTGCTGGACATCCAGGCCAACCTGTGGGAGCCTCAGAAGAAAGGGCTGCCGCTCTGGGCTGAGGGCATCATGTTCTTCTACTGCTACATCTTGCTCCTGGTGCTGCCGTGCGTGTCCCTGTGCGAGATCAGCATGCAGGGGATCGGCATCGTGCCGCACCGCATGATGCTGTACCCCATGCTGAGCATGCTCACCGTCAACATCGCCACCATCTTCATCCGAGGCAGCAACATGATCTTCTTCAGGGATGCCCGGGTCTCCAGCATCTTCATGGGCAAGAACATGCTGGCCATTGGTATGAAGGTCTGTATGTTTGTGCAGTACCAGCGGCACCAGCACCACGCCCCGCCGGGGCCGGACCCGCAGCACAGCACCCCAGCCCAGCCGCCCACGGGGCTGCGCAAGGCCCGGGACCAGCCTGCCTGCCCCGAGGAGCTGGCCCAGGACAACACGTGACGAGCCAGCAGGAGCTACAGCCCGGGCATCCCCGTGCCTGGCCGTACCTACAAACCCAGGGCAGGCTGTGGAGTTCCCTGCCTGGACAGAGGGCAACGACCCTGCTCCCTCCTTCCCTGGGTGAAACTGCTCAGGGCCCCGAGGGGCACATGGTGAGGGCCCCCACAGCAGCCTCTGTAAGGCTGCAGAGCAGTTTGGAACCTCAGCACCCCACCTGGTAAGACAGCGGAGCAGGGGACAAGGCCAGGGCCACCTGCCGTGAGTTGTGTCTGGGTGGGGCCAGGCAGCCCTACCCGGTGCAAGGCTCCCTACCAGTGCTCCCTGTGCAGCACTGCTCTCTGGCCAGCCAGGGTGCTACACGGGGACACGGCAGGTCACACACTTTTCTGTTGTGGTTGGCCCTGGCTCCAGTGTGGTCCTTGGCAGCAGCCTGCTCCCCACTGTGTGAGCCGAGTGCCCATGCAGGGGGAGCAAGTCCTGGGCCTCTCCCTGTTGTCACCCCTCTCAGCCAGCTGCAGGCTTGGGGGGACCCAAAAAGGGGTGACTGTCCTTTTTTTGTATCTCCCTCTTTGCAATAAAAGACCTGAGCCCTGCAGCCTTTTCATGTCTGTGTCCCTGCCAGCAGGCCGATCTCCCCCACTCTTCTGGGGGCCTTGTGTGACTGGGTCTCTGTTCAGCTGCAGAGCGTGTGGAGAGGCTCACTCAGTGACCACCTAGGGCTGGGGACAGCATCCCAGACCACTGGGTCTGGAGCCATTCCTCCTGCCCCACAGGTCCTGTGAGCGTCTGGTGGGCTCTGAGGGTGTCACTGACAGGTGCGTGGCAGTGTTGTCAGCCACCACCGCCTGTGCAACCAGTGCAGTCACAGCAACTGGGACCAGTCATGCCCAGGGACACCCACAGCAAGTCCTCACACTCCAGCTGGAGGGACACCAGTGCATGTCTGCCCAAATTGCCTTGAAAACAAGAAAAATAAGCCAACTGCTTGAGGCTGGGAGGCTACTGGAAAGAGCAGCTCCTCAGCAGTAGGAAGCTCTCTGGAGATGTTGGAAGCATCTGCTTCCCTTGGAGCTGGTGCTGTGATGCTGCCTCCTGCCCAATACCCTGAGTGGCACCTCAGCCCTGGCTGAACTGGGAAATGCCCCAGGGCTTCCCCTGCTGAGGCTGCTGGGCCCAAGAGGTGGCAGGCACCACCACTGTGCTGAGCAGAAACAGGTGACATCCCAGCGAGGATGTCCTCCTTGCAGGCAGGCATAGGCCACAGCAGGAAAAAGACCTTTAGTTCCAGAGGGGCAGGAGGGGAAAGCAGGACCACTTTGGGGGTGCACCAGACCTACAAGCAGCAGGGGATGGGAACAGAGGGACTGAGGAGTGCCACGTGACCCCTCAGCGAGGCCCTGGCAGCAGGTCTCTAGCCAAGCTGGCACATGCCATGTCTACTGCCTTCCCCCAGTTCCACTAAGTCCTCTCACCAGAGCAGAATTTGCATCACCCACAGGAACTACAGTGGAGGTAAGTGGTTCAGCAACACCCTCAGGCCTGACCTGCTCCTTGCTCTATGTTTTGCTCCCAGCAAGGCCTGTCCCCAGGCCCCAAACACCAGTGGCCACCCACGCAGCACAGCTGTGCTCAGGCACTCTCCCAGCACACTCTGTCCTGTCACACTGGGGTTACCTTAGCCATCCCCTTGTCAGCACAGCCACGGCAGACAGAGGAAAAAAGGAACAAGGAGAAACAAGAGGGCTGGTGGGATATTGGAGAGAGGCATTGACTCCCCTAAGGTCAAACACTTTTGACTTTAACAAACTGACAGTGGAAATAAAGGAAAACAGGTACTTTACTTCATAGAGGATCAGTTTCCTAGAAGAACTAATAACCCTGTGGAGACGACCCTGAGAACCAAGCTGCTCTGAAGGAGAGATCCCAAGCAGCAATAGCTGAGCAGTCACAGCATGCCCCGTGTATGAGGAAGGCCAGCTCACCTAGATCTGCATCACCAGGAGCAGCCCACATGGAGTGATCCTCTCACCTTTACTCATCTCTTGTGAGACTACTTCGAGATACTGATCCATGCTGGGCCATCAAAAGATAGCTGTTGGTTGCCTGGGCTGACTCCAGCTGAGTATGTGGAACGTGTCAGAGGCTGGAGCACTGCTAGGAAAGGCTGAGGAAACAGGACTCATTCACCCTTGGGAAGAAAAGACTTTGGGGAGACCTTACAGCACCCCTTTCCCACCCACCCCTCAGACCTGTGACAAAGCTGCTGAGAAGACAGAGCCAGGCACTTCACTGAGAACAAGACAATGATTGTGGACTAACACCAGGCAGGTTTCCTGGATGAGGGAACAAAAAGTTCCATCTTGAGAACCTGAAGCAGTAGAGCAGAGGCCAAGAGAGGTGAAGGCATATGTCCTTGGACATTACCAGATCCCACACCAAAGCAGCTCTGAGCAACCTGATCTGAAGTCAGGGTTGCTGCACTGAGCAGGGATTGTTCCACATCCTTTTCTGCCTCAGTGGAAGTCTGAAAGAACCTGGAGCCACAAGTGTAGGGCAGGACTCACGCTTTCCTTGCTGGAGAAATGAGCAGGTGCAAGGGCAAAGACAACTGTCATCACCATCAGCATCTGCATGACACACTTGTCACCACCCAGGCATGATCTAAACCACAAGCAAAGCAGATACTTCAGCTACAAAAAAAAACATTAGTTCCTTCAGTTCAGCCCCTACTCTGCTGCCTTAGAGCATCACTGTGCAGTGGAAGGCAGATCCTGGGAAGAGGGATAACCATCCTCCAGGCCTGGCCAAGGCAGAATGAGCCAGTGCCAGACAACAGCATTGACTGTCCAACAGTCACAAGTTCTTCTGTGAGGGCAGATGGCGCTTGTCTTTGATGGCATTCCTCTTCCTCTTCTTGTTCAGGAAGCTCTCCAGCTTTCCACTCCTCTTCAGCTCTGCATACTTCTCAGCTAGTTCCAATTTCCGTTTCTCAGCTGCAGAGGAGAGGGAAGTCAAGTTTTAAACTGTAGCCCAAAACATCTCTACAGAGCAGCCCCTTCTCACCTCTCCCTCCCTGCTCCAGGCTTAGCTTCTCCCTTGAGTACCAGCACTATAACAATTCCCCAACAGCTGTGTGGAATAGTATGGACACCTTGCTCCCAGTGCTTGAATTCCTGCCAGCAATACTCCCTCTAGATCTTCCTGCATCATGCTCACTCCAAGTACTTACATTTCTTTAGGAAGAAGGGTTTCTTTCCCTGCTTGGCCAACTCCCTCTGTTGTCTTTTCAAAGACAGCTCCCTCTCTCTCAACTTCTGCTGTTTTTTCTGTGCCTGTTCCTGCTGTGTCTGTACAAAAAGGACAGCCTGTGTCAGCATGGAGGCAGACCTCAGGTGACACATCCTCTCTCCCAGTGCCTCCCAGAGAGGAGATGCTGCACTGAACTCACCATACGGTTCAGGAGCCACTGAAGTTTCTCCTTCTGTTCCATGTTCCGGCATTTCTTCAGCTGTTTCTGAACCATCTGAAGAAGAGAGCAGAAAGCTGCATGACTGCCTGCCTGTCCCCTCTACTGCAAAAAGCCTTTGAAAAAGCAGCCCCTGCCAAGCAAGGTTCTCCCAGGCAAGGACAGGCACAGAGCATCACCTCCTTCTCCTGCTTCTTGATGCTGTCCAGGAAGCTGTATGTCTTCATAAATATTTCAGGCTTATACTCTCCAGACAGGTCATCAAATCGAGGGTCTCTCTGGACCTGTCAGCAGGGAAGGCAAGAGCTGTAGCCAGTGTTACCCTGTTAACAGCCTGCTTACTCTCCCCTTCATGGAACAGCCAACTTTTTTCCCCAGCAACATTATGCTCCCACCACTGAAATATCTGCAGTTGGCAAAGATCGAGTACGATGGTCAAGGTGACATCCCCAAAGTCATGCCTGCACCAAGTTTATCATGCAACAGACATTGCCATATGCGAGTCTGCTACCCAGGAGTATCCAGGAATAACAGCAGGAATGCTGCTGTCAAACACCTGCAACTCCCAGACCAAGAGCTGGCTGAATATGTTTTGTCACGGTGATGGATTTAAGAACTCAAACCTATCTAGATTTTCACAGATTAACTGGGTCAGGTCATGCAAAAAGGGCAGGACAAAAAGAGGTCTCTAACTGTGGAAATTACCATATTATGATGATCCAGCAATGATGAGTCAAAAGTTACATTCAGATTGGAAAGCAGATGGACATCTGAACTTCTGGGATTAGTACTGAACAATGACCATGGTTTGCAGTGGAACTGTCATTGGTGGCTGTCATTGCACCTTCTAAAAACATCTGGGTCCCAAACTCTCAAGTTAACCTGCAGCTGCTCCAGCCCACCCGCTGTTCTCCGCAGGGAAACACTGTCACTGTCTGCACTCCCCAGTGGTCCCGCCCTGTCCTCCAGAAATAGCCTGTACCATCTGCAGCAGCCCCATTCCCAAGTGTGTGCCCTGCCAGCAGCACTAAGGCAAGTCCTGAGCTGGGGAGGGGCAGCACTCACCTTCTTCCTAACAGGGACAACTTGTCGCAGGAAAGGTACAGGCTTCTTGGCTGACATCTCCAATGGCCTGAAAACAAGAAAAATGTCTTTTAAGAGGAGCAAATGTCAGAATGAGACCCAAGCTAATACACTGGTAGGTCATTTGGACCCTCACAAGAATATTACTGCACAACAGACTCTCCCATCTCAATCCTTTCCATGATATAGATAGCAAAGAGGTGGCTCAGTCAAAAGCCACAGAAGGCTACAACAACCAAATATATCAATATGTGGTTAAAACAACCCTATGAAGAATTTGGAACAGCTCCACTGTATCAAGTGAAAACCCAGCACCTGCATCACTAAATTTGTTGTACTGATTATTCCTCTCATGAAGTCACAGAATGGCTGGGGGTGTAAGGAACCTTTCCTAAAGCAGAGTTACCTAGAGCAGACTGCACAGGATTGCATCCAGGTGGGTTTTAAACATTTCCAGAGGAGATTCCACAACCTCACTGATCAGCTTGTTCCAGTGCTCAGTCACCCTCACAGTGAAGACGTTTTTCCTCATATTCAGGTGAAACTCCCCGTGTTTCAGTATTACCCCTTGTCGTGTCACTGGGTGCCACTGAAAAGAGCCTGGCTCCATCCTCTTGACACCTGCCCTTTACATATTTCCAGTGATAAGGTCCCCTCTCAGTCGTCTCTTCTCCAGGCTAAACATTCCCAGGTACCTCAACCTGTTGTCATAGGAGAGATGCTCCAGCCCCCTAATATTTTTTCTTTTTTCCCCTCTACTGGATCCAACCTCTCCAGGAGCTCCAGGTCTCTCATGTCCTGAGGATCCCAGAACTGGGCACAGCACTCCAGACTGGCCTCACCAGGGCTGAGCAGAGGGGCAGGATCACCTCCCTGACCTGCTGGCAATGCAGCTCCTAATGCAGCCCAGGATCCTGTTGGCCTTGTTGTCCCCCAGGGCACGGCTGGCCCATGGACAGCTCCACCAGGACTCCCAGGTCCTTCTCTGCAGAGCTGCTGCCCAGCAGGTCACCCCAGCCTGTGCTGCTGCCTGGGGTTGTCCCTTCCCAGGTGCAGGAGCCTGCACATGCCATTGCTGAATTCCAGAAGATTCTTTGCTGCCCAGCCTGTCCAGATCTCATGGAATGGCATCACAGCCCTCTGTGGACCAGCTACTCCTCCCAGCTTTATGCTGTCAGCAAACTTGCTGAGGGACACCTGACCCCTTCACCCAGGTCACTGATGAAAGAGTTGAACAATACTGGAGGCAGTACTGACCCCCAGGGACACCACCAGTGACAGGCCTCCAACTGGACCCTGTGCCACTGATGATGACCCTCTGAGCTCTGCCATTCAGCCAGTTCTCAATCCACCTCACTGTCATTCATCTAATCCACACTTCCTGAGCTTGCCTAAGAGGATGTTAAAGGAGTCAGTGTCAAAAATCTTGCTGAAGTCAGGGTACACAACATCCACTGCTCTCCCCTCATCCACCCAGCCAGTCATGCCATCACAGAAGATTACCAGATTGGTCAGGCATGATTTCCCCTGGGTGAATCCATACAGACCACTCCCAAAAACCTTTTCTTCCACAGGTTTAGAGATGGCCTCCAGAATGAAGTGCTCTATCACTTTTCCAGGACTGGTCTGTAGTTTCCAAAGTCCTCCCTTCCTGCCCTTTTTAAAGACTGGAATGACACTGGCTTCACACCTCTCCTGCTCTCCATGCCCTTTCACAGGTGACAGAGAGAAGCTGAGCAGTAACACCTGCTGAGAGCACACCCAGCCAGCCACAAGTGATGCTGGGGCAGGAGCACAACCCCACAGGTTTTCCAAATCCCTTTCAGGGCAGTGCTCAGCGTATTCTCACATCCACTGAGGCTACAACCCTGCACAATGCTCTGGAGTCACTGCTGAAGCCAGCTCAGTGCCAGGGGATTTTCCTGAAGCCCTTTCTTTAAGAAGCTCACTTCCACAACAAAAACATGAGAGAAAAAGCATGTGGGATTTACAGCAATACATTACTTAAAGGATTAGAGGAATTAAACAAAAGCAGAATTATGCAAACTGTGTGGCAGAAATAGAGACACTGAGAGAAGATGTTGCACTACACAAAATCCCCCAGAGTCTTGGATAAAAAGTCAAGCAGAAACATTATCCTAATCAACTCTTTATGGCAGAAGAAATGTATTTTGTGTTCTCTGCTTTGTGCAGGAGAAATGTATTTTGTGTTCTCTGCTTGTGCGTTGAGCAGAGATTCAGAAATAAGATAGGGAGTGTCAGTGTAACAGAGGAAACCCATTCAAATCACTTGGGTGCCACTCTGAGGACTGAAAACTACCTAATTACAGCAAATAAGGGGTAAGGGTATTGCTGTTACCAGTGGGGGCCTGTGGAGAACTGTAAAAAGGTATGATAGCTTTTGTTTTGTTGAATACAGGAAAAAGTCTGTGATGGCAAGTACTGTAGAGGGGAAAAAAGGAAAATGAGCACGGACAAGCCACAGATGAGACAGCAACAGAAGGATGAATGGAATTCCAGAACAATTGTCTGTGACTGTAACTCCAGCCAGTGAGAGCCAGGCAGAAGATACTGATAAGCTGGGAGGGGTTTAGGAACCAGCAGGGCAGCTATTTCAGGTCACAGTGGACACTGTCAGAGAGCTTGAGAGGCACACCATGCCAAGGGTTACAAGTGCCTTAATACAGAGAGTATAAAGGCTTTGAGTGCCAATTTAACTGTCAAGTGACAGGTGCCTGCTGGGGATTTGAAGAGAACAGAATATTAACAGCTCTGAGAACAGCACCAGACAATTCCCAAATGAAACTATAGTGACAGGCATTATTGTCCAGTACATTAAAGGAGATCTATGCCAGCTCCAAGGCAACATCACTGCTGTGAGGAGCTCCCAGTGTAATTTCTGGAATGCAGAGGGCACACATACACGTTTTTCTGATACAAAAGAGCCTCTTTACCCCTTTTTGCCTTGTTGCTGCTTCAGTGTAGCTTTGGTAGGCTTTGCAGTTTTCTTCCCACCAGGCACCTTCCTGCTCACTTTTGTCCTGGTATCACTCTGCACCCGCAGGAGTTCCTCAAAAGACATGTCAGAGTGATCTGGAAGAGAACACAGGGCACACCTGAACTGAACAGCTTCTCAAGGCACTTCTCACCCCCACACTCCACCAAGAAGGATGCCCCAGAGCTTGAGACAGTGACACAAGCATAGTGGTGCCATCCCTGTACAACTGCACAGCAGAAAGAAACCTCTGCATCTCTCAGCCTCTGGTTCCTCTCCCATTGATCACTTCAGTCTTCACCACTAGAACAGAGCAGCCTCCCCCTCTCCCCAGAGTGTCTTTCCTTCTCTCTCCACTCAACAGCACACATGAGACCAGTACAAAGTTTTTACCAGGTACAAAGAGCAGTATGAGCTCTACACTGGGCACTGCGAATTCTGAGGGGTCACCTCTCAGTCCTGACTTTCCCACTTTAATGTTTCTTTAATACCCCTTAATGTCACTAACCTTTAATGCTTCTTATAACTAGAATGCAAAAATATGATCATCTCGATTATCATACTGTTCTTTATTCTAGATTTATACTTCTAGGTGTTCAGAACCAACAGCTGAAAGCATTTCTTCAGTCAGCACTTGGACATACTCATTCCACTCCCGTGTAAGGGCAAGGAGGGGTTTGCACTGTGTCCCTTCTGGAAGGGAAAGCCTTGGCAAACTGACTTGGGTGGTGTTTGCAGGCTCAGAACCTCTGAGCAGTGACGGGCACGTGGTCTTTCTGAGCCTCTGCAGTACAAATCACACCAACTGTGGCCAGCAGGGACCATCACAACCTGGGATACCTTGGCCAGATGCCAGGTGCCCCCCGAGCTGCTTTTGTAGCCCACTCACTCCCAAACCCTTCCCACACAAACACAAAACACTGTCCCGTGAGCAAGGTTTGTGTGTGCGCTGCCAAATTCTGGAAGCAACATGAGGTCAGTCACACTGGCTCAGAGCATGGACTCATCCCAAGCACTCTCATCCTGGCAATAACCAAGACTTTCAGAAATTACTCTCATCATCCAGAAAACACAATGGGCACAGCCAAGAGCTGCCTCAGTAAATGTTTTCATTTTGCTTGTTCTGAATGCTCAGGAACTCTGCTCTGATGATGCTCATTAGTGCTCTGAGGTGGGATACAGGAACAGTGACTATCCAGTCTGCTGCACAAGGGACAAAGGAAATATGAATACAGCATGATTTCATTGCATTGCTTCCTCTAAACACCCCCCCAACGGACCATCACAACCTGGGATACCTTGGCCAGATGCCAGGTGCTCCCCAAGCTACTCTTGTAGCCCACTCACTCCCAAACCCTTCCCACACAAACACAAAACATTGTCCTGTGAGCAAGGTTTGTGTGTGCTCTGCCAAATTCTGGAAGCAACATGAGGTCAGTCACACTGGCTCAGAGCATGGACTCATCCCAAGGACTCTCATCCTGGCAATAACCGAGACTTTCAGAAATTACTCTCATCATCCAGAAAACACAATGGGCACAGCCAAGAGCTGCCTCAGTAAATGTTTTCATTTTGCTTGTTCTGAATGCTCAGGAACTCTGCTCTGATGATGCTCATTAGTGCTCTGAGGTGGGATACAGGAACAGTGACTATCCAGTCTGCTGCACAAGGGACAAAGGAAATGTGAATACAGCATGATTTCATTGCACTGCTTCCTCTAAACACCCTCCCAATCCAAATTCTGAACAAGGACAGTCAAAAGGACAAATAAAGCACTAAAAGAAATGAATTATGATGTGGAAGATACTCTCAGGACTTGATGAAGACAAGGCACCATCACTTGCACTCCAATATTCCATTTGGCCAAAATTCCAAAACAAAACTGCTTAAACAGCAAAGACTTCAATGAAAATGAGATAAAGACACCATATAAAATGATGCTAAAAGGAGATTTGGTACAAATCAGATAAAGCAAAGGCATGCAGAGTTTCCGTGATAAAGTATTTCACCACTGGTACAGGAGATGAAACCTGACAACCTGAAACCTAATAGGGAAAATGATTTCCACATGGTAGTATCAGTCCACAAAATACATCCTACTGCCTATTTATAGGAGATTAATTAAACACTCACAGTGATAGAAACATCACTGGACATCACTATAAAAAAAGAAGCCTGTTCTGGAGCAGAAGTGAATGGCCCCAGCAAGCACTCACTGCTGGGCAGCAGATTTGGCAACTAGGTGTGTGAAAAGGTTCTGGTTAAAAAGTCAGGATTAGCTTATTTTTCTTGTTCCTTGCATTCTTTCCTGAAGACTTAATTTCCCCATGTTTTTCATTCCTTTTTTCCCCTTAGACTATAACTTACCTGTTCTCTGCTGTCTCTGTTGTCCATTTAATTTTCCCTCCTGCCAATTTTTCCCTTCATCCATTATTTTGTGGATTGTTTCCTTCTTTTTGCACCTCTTGATAAGCTGCTGTTACCTGCTGATAACAGGGGCATTTCCTGCTCTCAAGCACAGCCTCCTCGTGTTTCCTCTGCTCCCACAGACTCCTGTGGCACATGGACACCTTGTGCCTTCCTCAGCTGAACCTGCAGGGAGCTATACAACCTGCAGAGCACATCAGTGTCCAGGATGCAAGAACAGATGGCCTAAAGAAATACCTGATATCTGCCCAGTCGTTCCCTGCTGAGACAAAATCAGTGCTGGACTGCAATATAACTCCTCCTGCTCCACAACCAAGATCACAGAGCGCCCTGACAGATGGCAAAAGCAAAACTGCTGTTCCCGTTCCCATCCAGCTGTGGGAAGGAAAGGGTGTCTGTCGGTGATCCTCTCTCTGAGCTTTGCTCACCATTTCCTCACCAGAGGAAAACAAAATGCCTACAACAGATGGCGAGGCACCTTGCCCACCTCTGCATGCCACTGCCAAAAGCTCACCTCCAGAGATGTGCCTGCCCCACAGACACACCCTGGAGACCCTTTCACAAGGAACCAGTGACTCTTCACACCCGTGACATGCTATGTTGTGCCTGCGGCTAACACCAATGCCCACTCCCTCACAATTCCCTTCAAGGGCTTTCGTTGTATTTTTGTAAGGTTTTCATTCTCACTTGGATCGTTCTGAGACGAGGAAACCAAACTGTGTTTGCTGCAGTGGATGAGAACGCCCACCCCTGACCCGCAGCCCACACAGCGGGCACGGCCTGCTTCTTCCCCTCGCCTGTCCTGTGAGGGCTCTCGAGCTCCGGCACAGAGCATTGTCCCCGAAGGTGTGACACCTTCCACAGCAATCTGCCTGGTGCGAGGTGTGTCCCTCACACAAGGGCGAGGGGAGTTCCCTGGGTGAGGGGATCTTTAAGGCCCCTACACGTGTTTGTTGCAGGGCCCTCTCAGCCAGCCCCAGCGCAAACCCTGCTGTGCTGCTGACCCTGAGCTGCCCAGCCGGGCAGGCCAGGGAGGGATGCAGGGGCTGGAATACGAGAAGGTACCGAGCTACTTGGCAGCTCGTTTCCCACCGAACGAGAGCCGGGAGCCGCGCTCCGAGCTGAGGCTGCCGCCTTTCCCGGAGTCGCTCCCGCCGGGCCCCCTCACCTTTCCCGCCAGCCCCCGCCACGCTCCCGCCGTCGTCGCTCTCGTCGCTGGAGCCAGAGCTCTCCTCCGCCGGCTCCAGACTCCTGAGCCGCTGCTCCGCGGCCGCCTCTTCCTCGCCCTCTGTGGCGGCAGCGGCTCGGGCTCGGGTTCGTCCCCGTCCCCATCCCGGCCCCATCGCCCCCGGAACGGCCCGCGCGGCACCGGCGGAACCGGAAGCGGAGCACGCGCAGGCAGCGGCGGTCACGTGGGAGAGCGGCGTTTGTGGTTTTTTTTTTTTTTTTTAATAGCAAAAATCTTTCCTTCCTGAGGAATGGGTCACGTACACAAAGGCCCTGGCGATATCCAACTAAGTAGTCAATAAGTGTTTTTAAGTGCAAGATCCCTTTGCGCTGCTAGACTGAGTCGTCCTGATGCCGGATTTATCGCAGCCCAGACTAAGTTTCTCATCCGAGCACCAAGTGTACGGAATGAGGGTTTGCCATGGCCTCCAAGGGGATCAGCTGCAGCTGTCAGAAGCGACCAGCAGGCTGAAAGGAGATGTGGTTACACACAGTGGCCTGCATTAGGAAAGGTACAGCCAGCAGACCAAGGGGTGTCAGCATCTCTGAACACTCGACACCTGCGAGAGCACACTTGGAATGTTGCACCCTATTTTCTGTTCGAAAGGAAACCGAAGGAACTGGGGAGGGTGCAGCAGAGAGTTCCCAAGGCAGACAGAGGCATCGTCCTGGGCTTCCTCGGGACGAGGCCAGCGGCGGGGCGCGGCGGCGGCGGGCGGCGAGAGGCTGTCGGCCAGGGCGCGGAGCTGCTCGGCCAGCCGGCCGAGATCCCGGCCCGCGGGCGGGGCAGCGGCGGCGCGGGGCTGCCGGGCGCGCAGGTGGGCCGCCTCCTCCTCCCTGCGACGGACACGGGGTAAGGAGCAGCCTGGCTGAGCGCCAGGTGCAGGTGATGCAGCCCCAATCCCCAGATCCCGCTCACCTGAGGCAGCGGCAGGTGCAGGTGATGCAGCCCCAATCCCCAGATCCCGCTCACCTGAGGCAGCGGCAGGTGCAGGTGATGCAGCCGCCGTCCCGCCGTGCCCATACGCGCAGCCAGCTCCAGGCGCGGTCCTTGCGCAGCACTCGCAGCACGGCGCTCCCCGCTGCCGGCCCGGCCCCGGGCCCCAGCGCTGCGGGCAAGGGAAGGGACGGTGTGAGCCGGCAGCAGGGCACGGCCCAGGGTGCCCGGATAGCCCCGCAGGCTGCCCCGATGGGCTCTGCCGCCGGTCACTAGTCTGGCCCCAGCGGGACAGAAGCAACACAGAGCAGAGTCAGGTCCGTAGCAGTCTTGCCCTCCCGAAGATATTTGGCTTAGATGCACTTGTCCCTCTTCTGTATACCATGGCAAAGCAGGATGCCCACCCCCAGCTTGGAAACTGCTTATAGACAGTATATGAGGTCTGTAACCACTTCCCCACCTCATCCTTTTTGGAGCAGGGAGTCACAGGAGGGAGGGCTGAATTTGCTTTGTCACTGCTGTTCTAGATAGCCACGTTTCAGGCATAACCAGACCATGGAGCCAGGGGACAGCACTCACATTCCTGGGTATGACACTCACCCACGGCCCTGTGCTGGGCAGCTGCCAGGTCAGCATCCTCAGGGTGCAGGAGGCTGTACCACGACTGACCGACCAGCTCCTCCCGGTGGTAGCCTAGGTGGTAGGTGACACTGGGGATGACAAGAGGAGTGGGGACTGAGTGCTGTACGGAGCCTGCATCCCATACACAGGCTTGGTGAAGGGAAATGATTCTTGCTGCCTGAAATGTACAGCTGGGGCTGTGGTACAAGCAGGCACCCCTCACCTCTCCGTGACATCAATAAACGTCATGTCCAGCAGATGCATGCTCTGGAATACATCATCCTGGGAAGCAGCTTCGCCATCTGTGGGCGACTGCACAACGGGTGTGCAGAGAGCCAGGAAGGCTGTGGTGGAGGGGGAGGGTGGCCAGCGCAGGGCCATAAAGCGCCCGCACACTGCCACGACCCGATTCCCCCCGTGCTGCAGCCGGAAGGCCTTGGACGTGCGCATCTCGCTGACAAAAGTGACTTCTGCAGGGAAACACACCATTCAGAGTGGGGCAGGAGCTCCCTCACTCTGCTCCCAGCAGGGCTGGCGTGCTCTCAAATCACAGCCAAGGGCCAGAGCAGGGTGGCAAGATCCATGAGATGCCAGCCGAGGTCTCCCTTACCCCTTCCAGGCTCCTCCCGGGCTAGGAGGAGTTTCTTGTGCACATCCTCTCCCACTGGCCCATCCAGGATGTCAAAGACCGTGTCCCCCTGGGCAAGCAGCTCCACCTGACAAAGAGAGGGCTGCCCTCAGAGACTGTGCCTGTCTCAGGCCATGGCTGGCTTCGTGGGTGCACAGCCTGCTGGAGCCACAGCCCAGTGTCTGCTGGGGCAGCGTGCTGTGCAGGCAATAAAGGCACCAGGATGTGTATGGGGACAGTGACTGCAAATGCCCAGTGAGCAGGCCTTACCACGGAGAGGCCCAGGACCTGAGTCACGTTCTCTGAGATGTAGACCAGCTTGCTGTCTGCTGAGAGCACAAGCAGAAACCCCGGGAGCAGGGAGAGTAGTTCTGTGCCAAGGGCCGGTCCCGTAGGAGGAGCCAAGCCTGCAGGGGGATGAGGGTGAAGTGTTGTCTTGGATGAGGCAGGGGCAGTGCCCCACACAGAGCCAAGCGAGTGTGGAGTACAGCAGTGCTGAGGGTACCTGGAGGGAACAGCTGAGCCCCCCGCAGCCGGAGGCACACCAGGGCCATGGTGTGCAGGTAGGAGAGCCGCTCCTTTTCCTGTGCAGAGATGGGCAGCAGGGAGCGCAGCGCCTGCAGCTCCGCATTGATCTGGTCTCGGCGAGCCTTGGAAGCGCTCTTGGTTGACCTGCAAAGTCAGCCATCTGGGACACATGTCCAGGGAGGGGAAGGGACAGCGTTCCCTGCCTGTCATTGTGGGAAGAATTGCGAGCTCGGGGATATGGAGTGGAGATGCTCAGCAGCCGTGCCAGCTGCTGCTGCTGTAGGAGAGCAAACCTTGTGGGCACAGGCAGAGGTGCTTAAGCCTACCCAGGGGCACATGCCGCTGGTATGGCTGGTGCCTCTGCTGCTGGGCACCAGGTTGGACAGTGACCTGTGCTTTGGTGGGGAGCCCATGTGACACAACCTCCCCACCAGGATGGAAACTGCATCCGGTGCTGGAATGTGCACCCCAGCCCAGTACAATATGCCTTTCCTCCTACACCACCTAAAATACCTCTGCCCCTCCAAATTCCTGCACCTCCTCCCCATGCGTTGGCTGGCAGTCCCGCTGCTGGTGTCAGCACCTTGCAAGGGCCGTCAGACCCTACAGCAGCTATCCCGGGGTTCTGGGAGGCCATCCCAGCCCCGAGGGAGGGCAGGAGGTGGGAGAGAGCTCACCTGAACGGCCTCGAGGCGCTGGGCGCCTGCTTGGCCCTCGCGGGCAGGCAGCTCATCTCTGCCTGCAGTGGCCGGTGGCAGTGGCTGCAGAAGATGGTCATGCTGCCCGGGCTGGGATGGCTGCAGCTGGCAGGGAACCGCTGGCAGGGAACCGCTGCCTCCTTCGCCTCCGGCTGTGGCTGAACCTGCTGACCCTGCTGCTCCTGGCCTCCTTTTGTACCCTCCTGGGGTGCAGAGGCCAAGCCACTCACGGGCGAGAATTACCTCTTGTGACGCAACTCCAAACAGCTCAGGGCTATTTTTAGAAGGCAGGCTGCTAAAAATAGCCCTTGCAACCAGTTGAAATTTGAGAGGGGAAGTAATAAAAGGAAGCCAGGGTCTTTAAAGCAAACCTGCCGCTCAGGAGGGGGCAGTGACAAAGGCAGCAGGGATCTCCCTGTGGGGCACACATCTGCCCAGCTCCTGCCAGCCCTGCAGAACATCCTGTGTCTAGTCTGCCTGACTGGGAGCTGCCTTCCAGCATCTCTGATGACTACGTGGGTGCTGGGAGAAGGAGCTGATAAGCCAGGAAAATACACTGCAGAGACCAGAACCAAGGTGGTGAGCGGTGTGCCCAGGCCTGCAGTAGGTTCCTGGCAGAAGCAGGTTAGAGCTACAGCACCCCTAAACCCAAGAGAACCCTTTATAAGAGGAGTGGGATGTCAGTGACCCCTCTCACTGATGAGCCACTTTTCTTCCCAGAGGAGAATTCTCCCCCACAAAGGTTTGCTCTCCTAGAGGCATTTGGCATGGAGTGCTGAGCCTTTCTGGGGCCTATTGTCTCCCGTCAATGCCCCAGAGACTGAGATTCCTCCCAGTGACAGCCATTCACAGACAGAACTGAGGAGCCTCTGTGCTCAGCACCACACAACCCAGTCCCCCAACAGGGACTCTGGGTGCTCAGGGGACATTTCCTAGTGCCTGGCACCCTGCAAGGAGAGTAAGCTTGGTGCTTTAGTGCACAGCAAAAAAATTCCACCATTTATTTCACAGCTTGGAGAGAGTGCCTGTGGCTGAGGCAGCTGATAGAAGAAGGGAGTCAGAGCCGCTGGACAACACATGGTAAATGTTCACCTAAGTCCTCTTGGCAACCTGCAGGTGCCAAGGACCACAAAGGATGAGCCCAGGCTGGGGCTGCTCCCCCTCAGCCAGACGTGCTGTCACAGCACAACCTGTTTCTCTCCAGGCCAATGATGCTCATCACCTATCACAGCGAGGTGCTGCCAGTGTGAAGAACAAGCTCTTGTCACCACTGTAGGGCCTTCTGTTCTCTTGCCACGAGGTTTTCACTGCTTTCACGCCACTCCAGACTGCTCCATTGTGCTCCATTGGCCACCTCCTGCAGGCTGAGGAGCCCAGGCACCTCTGCAACCTTGTGCTGCTGGATAAGCACTTGACCCTGGCTATGTGCCAGACTTCAGGGCAGGGCAGACAGCCTGGGCCCTCTGCCACCCAGGTTCCTGGCACGCAGCCACCACCATCTCGGCTGCCCCTGTGACTTTACATCCCAGGAAAAGCCCTGAGTGCTTCCTTAGCTTTTTCTGCACTAGCCCCACTACAGTTGCCACTGGAGCTCCTCTTCACATCAGACGCCTCAAGTTGGTGGGAAAGGGCTTGAGCACAGCCCTCTGTGCCACCCAGGCAGGCTGTCCCAGGCATCCCTGCACCTGCAGCCCTGACGCAGGA